CGGGAACAGAACCTGAGGGGGGTTGTCGTTCTGATCCTGGATCAGGACTTTCACAGTCACGTTGCTGCTGAGTGGAGGAGAGCCTCCATCCTGTGCTTTGACAACAAAATCTAACTCTTTAATTTGTTCATAATCAAGTGATCTCAACGACTGAATCACACCACTGTCTGAATTAATGGAGAAATATGATGAGACTGGATGCCCGTTAATTTCACCGTCAGTAATTAAATAGGAAATGCGGGCATTCTGACCCTGATCTGGATCTGTGGCGTGGATCTGCAACAGAGAAACACCTGGGGTGTTGTTTTCCATTATGATAGTGCTGTAAGCACTTTGACTGAATGTTGGAGCGTTGTCATTAATGTCACTGACGTCTAAAACTAAAACCTTTCTGCTTGATAACGGAGGAGAACCTTCATCAGTGGCAGTTAGAGTTATATTATATTTGTTGTCTCTTTCTCTGTCGAGTATTTGCTCCGTGATTAATGTATAGTAGTTTCTAAGAGATGATTTTATTTTGAAAGGGACATTTTCATGCAGTGTTAGACGCACCTGTCCGTTTCTCCCCGAATCTTTATCCTGAACACTAATCAATCCCACAACAGTACCAGGAGGTGAATCTTCTGAAATTTTGCCAGCGTATGAGGCCAGCGTCATCACGGGGCTGTTATCGTTTACATCCACTACCTCTATCATTAATTTGCTCGCGCCTGATAACCCCCACGGATCTCTAGCTCGCATGTTTAATTCATAACTTGGAGAAACCTCGTAATCAAGCTTATCCACGAGTTTAATTTCTCCCGTGTGGGGGTTGATGTCGAAAGGACATGGTGAACCCTCCTCTAAGTGGGTGAAGGAATAAGTGACGTTCGCATTAAAACCCTGATCTGCATCGACGGCGCTGACTCTAAGAATAAATGCGCCTGGCAAAACATTTTCCAGAACGGATGTTTTGTATATCATTTGTGTAAAAACGGGTGCGTTATCATTCGCATCTAAAACAGAAACATGGATCTTGACAGTTCCTGACTTCTGCGGCTCTCCTCCATCAGCTGCTGATAAGATCAGCGCGTGCTCGCTTTGCTTCTCGCGGTCCAACCCGCTGTAAAGCACCATTTCCGCGTATTTTCTCCCATCGGCTCCTGCATGCTGCTTGAGAATAAAATGCTGGTTTTCTTTTAAATAGTAGCTCTGCAGGGAGTTTATTCCCACGTCAGGGTCAGTTGCGCTCTCGAGCAGAAAAACGGCTCCAGCCAGCGTCGATTCGCTGATTTCTAAATTAATTTCCTTTTTTGGAAAAGCAGGAGCGTGATCGTTAATATCCTGCACCTCGATCGTTATGGAAAATAATTCGAGGGGGTCTTCTAGGACAATTTCTAGAGCGAAACTGCACAGAGATTTCTTGGCGCAGAGCTTTTCTCTGTCGATCCTTTCATTGACAACGAGGTGTCCTTTGTTCTGGTTCAGCGCCACATATGGATTTTCATCATCTATAACCAGACGAGCTCGACCAGACACCAACCTTCTCACATCCAAGCCCAGGTCCTTAGCCACGTCTCCCACAAGCAGTCCTTTCCTCATCTCCTCTGGGATGGTATAACGAATCTGTCCGCTGACCGCAACCATGAGGCAAAAGAAAAGCACAATGGAGGTAGCCCGATCCAACAGGGGGGCTCTGCTCTTCAGGTTATTCATTGTTTTACTCAAAAACAAGATGAAAAAAGGCAGCAATCCTAATAAAGAGTAGGTCCGCCGAATGTGCACTGTGTTAAACCGGTAGTTTGTTTCATCTAAAAAATATTCAGTCTGAAGCTTCAGTGGAAAAACAACCATCGCCCTTCTTGTTTCTTTCTTTTTTTTTTTTCTTTCAGAGACGGGTGGAGCTTTGTGCTTCATGACGTTACATTAAAAAAGTCTGCTTAGGCAATAGCACCACCAGCTGTTACTGTGAAAGAACAAACACTGATTCTGCTCTATCTGTCCAGTCCATTTGCCCCCCCCCC